ACGAACGGTCTGTGTCTATTGTTTTCTTCTCCAGACTGTTTATCCCGCCTATCATATCTAGATAGACCTGCAGAGATAATAATATGCACGAAAACAAGACAGAGCAAAGCAAAGCAACAAAAGAAAACAAAACCAATGACAAAAAAAGAGAAGCCTGTAAATAGTTCAAGGTCTATTTGTTGACCTTTAGGAGTGCTCTGGTAGAGTCTGATGGGGAGTGTGATGGGGTGCCACGCCCTGGCCCCAAAGTCTATTTTTGGTATTCCCTTGGGACTTCCTTGCTCTGCTCTCCTTGCTGTTCTGTTGCACGCCCTTTGTGTTTTGCTTTGGTGTGGTCGGGTCAGATAGGACACAGTTCCTACACTGTGCGTCCAGTGTCCCCCGTAGGACTATGGGTCAGTGAGGGATGTCATGTCTCATCGTGGGGCCGGCTATATGGTCCTCTTTGTTCTTTGGCTTCTCTGAGCAGGGATATCATCCTCAAAGGTTGGCGTGGCTGCCCACCTCATTGTTAACACATCAGTTACGTGGTTCACTTTCATACACCTTTTCAGAAACTGTTTTGTGAATCATTGGCAAACAAATTGTAATTTGCAAACATCAGATGTATATTTTGAAAGTAATAAAAATAAAAAAGATAAGTAATATTTATGAAATGAAATGCACCTATACCAGGTTATAGAGCTGTTTAGAAAAAAAGGGTATAATAAGGGTAAAGCATTAAAATACATTTTGTGAATTAAATTTTTAAGTTTTAGAATATGTGACATTAAATTTCTTTGATTATATAGGGACTTGTTTCCCTCATGATACATCTGGAATTTATTTTGGAGTGAGGAATAATATAGAACTCTATTTTTGTTCTATAAGGGTTCTACATTCAATAGGAATGAATGTCTGACATCCTTATACTAAGTTCATGAATACCCTACTGTTATTTACTGTAGCATCTTATCTGCATATCTAGGTGTAGTTTTTTGTTTTTCCTTTTTTAAAATTTGTTCCTACATTGCATTCCTCACACACACGCCCCACCACCCAGAACTTTCCTGGTTATTCTTACATGGGTATTTTCAATGGCATTTTTAGACTCAATTTGTCAAGTTCTAAAATAATAAGCTCTAAAACTGATGAATTAGTAACTTTTCAACAACAACAACAAAAAACCACAAAATGTCACCACCACAGTGATTAGAATAATTAGACATTAGTTAAAGCTTGCATTCTGATTTCAGAAAATTAGTTGTGAAAATAGGTACATCTTAGAATCATTAAATACAAGAAAGAGATGTGTTGCCTGGAACTTAATAAAACATGAATGACCAGCATAGAATAACATGGAATTCATATCTGTGAAACCTAATCTAAGGTCACAATCTTTTGCATTGACACCTGGTTGACTTTCATATGCTCTTGGTTACTCCTGTCTGCCGTGCATGTATGTGGACGTGGAAGACATAGGCACTGTTAGTTTCCTTGAGAGAGAAAAAGAAAGAATTGTTCCTCCAAAGAAGTATTAGTTGATGATGAACTTTCTGCACGTACTGGTGTTGTTTTAATATTTATAAGTTTACATTTGAGAAAGGGATGCTGGGATTGTGCATCATAAAGGATGATATGTTTCTTCTTTACTGAAATTTTGATGTGTACCTTATCTGAAGAGTTCTTGGTAAAGGGAACATTCTGATTAGAAAGTTAAGATGACTTTGAACACATTCCCTTAGACATATAAAATTTTTTCCCCTGTTTTTCCTGACAGGCAGCCTTGTATGCAATCCAGAAACTCTTTGAAGAGAAGTATGCTCCCCGGCCGATCTTTGTAAGTTCTATACTGCTTCCTTTACAAAAAATAAATTTTTAAAAAATATCATTTTGAGGTCCCTACCAATAGTAGAACTATTAATACAAAATGGGCCTCAAAAAGTTGTGGAAAAATTTCACTATCCTTTAATTCCATTTTTTCACAGACGTTGAAGCATCCTCTTAATAATCTATAGGAACCACCTACTTGAAGTTTCTCTGTTCATTCACCAACAATTCTAGACTAATAGCAGTGTAATTATAGAAATGTCAAGTAAATCTATCTAAAGATTAGTTGGAGTAAGGCAGGCCTTTAAGAAGAAGCCTGGCTGGATTTGGTCTGTTGAAGTGATTCCTCATTAGGGCCCAAGGAGAGATGGACTTAGGTGCTAACTGCAAGTTACCCAACACTAAGGAAGACAACTGCCCCATGGGGTTTCCTAAACTCTAATCTTTACATAAGCTGATGAGAGACTGGACTGCTTGGTGAAACTAGAGTGGTGTTACTCAGGGGTGTCAAACTCAATTAAAACACAGGCCATTTGGTGCAACAGGCAAGATTCCCATGGGCCACATCACATTTACAAATTTTGTTAAATGTATATTTTGAAGTGAGGATTCAGGAATATGGATAGGATAA